GGATATTCCAAGAATAACGGACTTAATACATGGATTTTTTAAATAGTTTTTTTTTCTTCTGTTTCTTGCATAAATTGTTCAAGTTTTATTTTTTATTTCCTTTATAATTCATTAAATATAATTAAAATTAATTTTAATTTTTGTCAGCACATACACCTAGGTGCTTGTTATAGTCCAATTAAATAGACCTTTAAATCAAAATTTTGAAGGAAATACAGGAATTTTTGATATAAATCACTTTAGAGTATTTGAAAACGATAGGTAAAAATATTTTGTTTTTCAGGCACCGGCAAATGTCAAAAAACAAGAAAATAAAGTGTTTTTTTAAGGTTATTTAAAAACGGTAGGTGCTATAAAAAAAGTTTTGAATAAAAATTGTAAAGCACAAAGTTTTACATAAAAATGATATTTGACATTTTTTGATATTATTAAAACTGACAGAGTTAGGGTGGTTAGAAATTAGGAAGAGATATATATGACTTGGAAAAATCATAGCGAGCTGAAAATTCAATGATTTTGTAGTTTCTTTTTATTATTTACTCAGAAAATTATAAATTTCTTTTAGGAAATTTTTGTTTTTGTTTTTTTGAGTTATAACAATTTTAATTTAGAAATTTTCAATATATTATACGAATTTATATGTTAAAATAAATTTTGAAGTACACTTATTAGCTTGATTGACTGACATGAAAAATATGAGGAGTGAACTAATAAAAACGATATCCCGACAGTTTGGTACCCACTTAAAGTTCCATTAAATAAATAAAAATAAACAACTAAAAAAAAAATAAATACAAAAAATTAATAAATAAAAACGATATGCCGATGGTCCCTACTTGAAGTTCCATTAAATAAATAAAAATAAAACAAATAAAAAAAACTAAATAAAAAAAATATAAAAATAAGTAAATAAAAATGGATAAAAATTAAAAATAAATAAAAACAAATAAAAATTAATAAAAATAAGTAAAAACAAATAAAAATAAAAAATTGTTAAAAAAATTAAATAAAATTAGGTAAATTAATAAAAATAAAACATAATAAAAAATAAATAAAATAAACACAAATAAGTGACAAGTGTTAAAGAAAATAAATAAAAATAATTAAAAAAAAGAAAATAAATAAAAATAATTAAAAAAAAAATAATTACAAATTGTTAAAAAAATTAAATAAAAATAAGTAATTTATTAAAAATAGAAATTAAACAAAAATAAATAAAAATAAATGTAAAAGAAAGTAAATAAAATAAATAAAAACAAATAAAAATAAAAAATAAATAAATATGAATAAAAATAAAATTAAAAAAATATTCATTTTTATTTATTTATAGAAAATAAAAAATAAATAGAAACTAAAAAAATAAATAATAAAAAATAAAAAGGAATATCTTTTATTTATTTTTGTTTCTTTTTTTTTTTAATTTTTGTTTCTTTTTATTTATTTTTATTTACTTTCTTTTACATTTTTATCTTTTCATTTATTTTTTTATTTATTTTTGTTTAATTTCTATTTTTAATAAATTACTCAATTTTATTTATTTTTATATTTAATAATTTACCTATTTTTATTTAAATTTTGTTTGTATTTTTAATTATTTTTTTTATTTTTATTTATTTATTTTTATTTATTTTTTTAATTACAATTATTTTTAATTATATTTATTTATTTTTAATTTTCATTTATTTATTTTTAAGTTTCATTTATTTTTATTTATTTGTATTTATTTTTATTTACACGTTTTTATATATATATTTTTTTTTTAATTTACCTATTTTTATTTATTTAATGGAACTTTAAGTGGGGATCAAACTGTCGGGATATCGTTTTTATTAGTTCACTCCTCATATTTTTCATGTCAGTCAAGCTAATAAGTTTACTTCAAAATTTATTTTACCATATGAATTCGTATAATTAAATTAAAATTGTTATAACTCAAAAAAACAAAAATTTCCTAAAAGAAATTTATAATTTTCTGAGTAAATAATAAAAAGAAACAACAAAATCATTGAATTTTCAGCACTTGTCACTTATTTGTGTTTATTTTATTTATTTTTTATTATGTTTTATTTTTATTAATTTACCTAATTTTATTTAATTTTTTTAACAATTTTATATTATTTGTTTTTACTTATTTTTATTTTTTTTATTTGTTTTTATTTATTTTTATCCATTTTTATTTATTTTTATTTGTTTTTATTTATATTTTATTTATTTGTATTTATTTTTATTTACTTATTTTTATATTTTTATTTAGTTTTTTTTATTTGTTTTATTTTTATTTATTTAATGGAACTTCAAGTAGGGACCATCGGGATATCGTTTTTATTTATTAATTTTTTGTATTTATTTTTATTTATTTAATGGAACTTTAAGAGGGGACCAAACTGTCGGGATATCGTTTTTATTAGTTCACTCTTCATATTTTTCATGTCAGTCAATTAAGCTAATAAGTTTACTTCAAAATTTATTTTAACATATAAATTCGTATAATATATTGAAAATTTCTAAATTAAAATTGTTATAACTCAAAAAAACAAAAACAAAAATTTCCTAAAAGAAATTTATAATTTTCTGAGTAAATAATAAAAAGAAACAACAAAATCATTGAATTTTCAGCACTTGTCACTTATTTGTGTTTATTTTATTTATTTTTTATTATGTTTTATTTTTATTAATTTACCTAATTTTATTTAATTTTTTTAACAATTTTTTATTATTTGTTTTTACTTATTTTTATTAATTTTTATTTTTTTATTTGTTTTTATTTATTTTTATCCATTTTTATTTGTTTTTATTTATATTTTATTTATTTGTATTTATTTATATTTTATTTATTTGTATTTATTTTTATTTACTTATTTTTATATTTTTTTTTAATATTTTTATTTGTTTTATTTTTATTTATTTAATGGAACTTCAAGTAGGGATCATCGGGATATCGTTTTTATTTATTAATTTTTTGTATTTATTTTTATTTTTTTTTATATATATATATTTTTATTTAGTTGTTTATTTTTATTTATTTAATGGAACTTTAAGTGGGGACCAAACTGTCGGGATATCGTTTTTATTAGTTCACTCTTCATATTTTTCATGTCAGTCAATTAAGCTAATAAGTTTACTTCAAAATTTATTTTAACATATAAAAAATTCGTATAATATATTGAAAATTTCTAAATTAAAATTGTTATAACTCAAAAAAACAAAAACAAAAATTTCCTAAAAGAAATTTATAATTTTCTGAGTAAATAATAAAAAGAAACAACAAAATCATTGAATTTTCACTTATTTGTGTTTATTTTATTTATTTTTTATTGTTTTATTTTTATTAATTTACTTAATTTTATTTACTTTTTTATTTTTATTTGTTTTTACTTATTTTTATTAATTTTTATTTTTTTTATTTGTTTTTATTTATTTTTAATTTTTATTTATTTTTATCCATTTTTATTTATTTTTATCCATTTTTATTTATTTTTATTTGTTTTTATTTATTTTTATTTATATTTTATTTATTTTTATATTTTCTTTAATATTTTTATTTAGTTTTTTTTATTTGTTTTATTTTTATTTATTTAATGGAACTTTAAGTGGGGACCAACCTATCGGGATGTCGTTTTTATTAGTTCACTCCTCATATTTTTTATGTCAGTCAAGCTAATAAGTTTACTTCAAAATTTCTTTTACCATATAAATTCGTATAATATATTGAAAATTTTTAAATTAAAATTGTTATAACTCGAAAAAAATATTTTTTCTTAAAAGAAATTTATAATTTTCTGAGTAAATAATAAAAAGAAACTACAAAATCATTGAGTTTTCAGCTCGCTATGATTTTTCCAAGCTATATATATCTCCTCTTAATTTCTAACCACCCTAACTCTGTCAGTTTTAATAATATCAAAGAATGTCAAATATCATTTTTATGTAAAACTTTATGCCTTACAATTTTTATTCAAAACTTTTTTTTATAGCACCTACCGTTTTTAAATAACCTTAAAAAAACACTTTATTTTCTTGTTTTTTAACATTTGCCGGTGCCTGAAAAACAAAATATTTTTACCTATCGTTTTCAAATACTCTAAAGTGACTTATATCAAAAATTCCTGTATTTCCTCCAAAATTGTGATTTAAAGGTCTATTTAATTCGACTATTATTATATAATTGGTTTCCATTATTGTAACTCACTATTAAACTTATGAATATTAATCAAATATATACCAAAAGAATAGAAATTGAATGAGGAATAAAATTGGTTCTATTTAAAAAAAAAAAAGTTACACTTGTTCACAGTAAAAAAAAATCCCTTTTCAGTTTTTCCAACATCTTTAGTACTGACCAATAGCGAGAATCATCAATTTACATTTTCTATATAAAAAACATGCTTTTTAAAATGGTGGTCTCAATTGATTATACAATAAAACCCCAGTAAACCAAATTTAGGTTATCCGAATTGCCAGAGAAATTGCAAATCCAAAAAAAAAAACAGTACTGCATGGATATAATCATAAAGGCTATAGTGCAAGCTGGATTGGACCAAAAAGAGACAATTATTACTGAATTATATTACATACATATTGTTTTACTGTATACTAAAAATATAATTTTAACTTTAATAAAGAACAAATGTATAGCCTGCAGAGTTCTAAAGTGGCTTTAGATATAATATAGATAATCATAGTTTAACCAAAAAAATGGTTATGCAAAATGACTCCATCCCCTTTAGTTCGGTTAACTGGGGTTTTATTTTACCTCAGTTTTATCTGTGCATCCTTGACTGGGCTTTACGATGGACTATCATACATAAATGCAATATTATGGAATTAACAAAAAGCCATTAAATGAAAGTGTCAAATCTATGAAATAAAAACAATCTACTCTTGATTATTAAGAAAGGCATAATAGATATACCGACTGAACCATTAATAAAATAGATACCTAATATTTTTTAATATATTGCATAGAAAAACAAAAAGCTAGAAAAAAAAAGAGAAATTACCATAACCGTAATCATAGGAGGTGGCTGCAGGGGTCCCGTACGCCTGTGGGGTTTGGTAGGCCGTCTCGTATCCCGTAGCCCTAGGTGTCCCGTATGTAGCAGCAGCACTAACAGGAGTGGCTACAGCATATCCCGCTTGGCCAGTCTGATATGCCGCACCGGTAGCTGCAGCCCTGAAAAACCACAATTTTGTTTTTAAATTTGCCCCGTTTGAATAAATGAAATTAACAATTCGAGAATTATAAAATTCACCAAGCCAATGCCTTAATATTAGCGAAAATACACTGAAAATGTACAAAAGCGTGGCTGGAGAAATGGACGGGCTCACCGTTATTGATCGTGCACCACAATCTAAAATGCCGGATTCGGCAACCAAGGACGCCGGTTGTAGTTAGTGAAAATTACGGATTTTCGCTCGAATCGAGCAAATATCAATTGATTAAATCATTTTGTCGCTGTAATAGCTTTTTTATAATGATGTGAAATTTTACTTACGTGTATTGTGTTCCACCATGAGTAAAACCAAAATAATTATTCGTAGCCATTTTTGCAAGCACGTTGACAACTGTTTGTTTCTGACAGATAGACAAAAAATCAAAATGAAATGACAAATGACAAGTGGCAAGTAATTGACGTGAGGTGCGTTCGGTAGGTTTTCTTGTTTTCGGAACATACGGTTCAATGTTCAATGAACTGGAGTGGAGTCAGGGCCGGCCCCAGGGGATGGCCCGGAGCGCAATGATCAGGCGACACTAAAAACCACGGAAACCTCGGGAGCGCTCGGCACTTTGCGGAGACGGTCGGTAGATGGAGTTTGGCGGAAATTTTGAATATTTGCTATTTACAGATTTCAGATTTCACGTCAAAAAAATAGAACCTAACCTCAAATTTCAACGGCCGTTTGGTTATATTACAGAGATAAGACATGTCTTCTCTCTGGTTATATTACTTTGTTTATTTGCACTTATTTACGTGAAATCAATTTCTTGATGTTTTTGTGTAATTTCGATACTTTTCATTAAAAAAAGTTATATTAACTGTGTATTATGTGCACTGAAAGGACCATACAAAAAATTTGTTGATAAACTGGTTCAAATGTTGGTTACAATAGTTGTAATTGATGGTACAGTTTGGCCAGAAAATATATGCTTTGAATCAATTATCAAATAAAATCCTTTATTTACACTTTTCATTAAACCTGCAATTTTGATTACAACCCATAAGAAGAAACTTATTGGTAAAAATTACTTTTTTTCTACAAAAAAAAAATAATTATCAGCATGTTGCATTTTTGATGTAATTGAGGGTTTTTTAGATAGTTCATCAAAAATAAAAGTCACGCTATACATACATAGGCATATAGAGGGTGTCCTTTAAAATGTGTCCCAAAATTCTCAGGCAGATTCCTTAACCAAAAAATGGAAAAAAAGTTCCTATAGACCTATGTCCTAAAGTGCCCCCTAAGCGAGCAACAGCCTCTCGAAATCATTTTTTTTATTTTGATTTTTTGAATTTTCTTAAAAATGGAAACAAATAAAAGAACCAAATTTTGGCTGTTAAATATGATCAATAATAGTGACCTTTTGATACCTTCAAAAAGAAATTATTTCGTCAGGGGTGTACTTGGGAATTTTTTGAAAATTTTGATTATTCATAACTTTTTTGTGTTTTTGGTAATGACTTATCCATATTTTTTTTTACATTCTACATTGAAAACTACGTCAAAAAGGAATACTTGTTTGATCTCGATTGGAGCAGCCGTTTCCGAGAAAACATCATCCAAAAATATTCGTCCACTTTAGCTTAATTTTCAATTTTGGCTGTTGTAGCCAAAAAGTTGGAAATCGAGGAACACGGCTTACATGTCCCTATCCTTACTTTTGAAGGTCTATTCAGTGGCAAAAAATATTAGTTGATACAGGGTGATCAAAAATCGGATGTGATTTTGGATTTTTGATCACCCTGTATCAAATAATATGTATTTTATGTCACTGAATAGACCTTAAAAAGTTAGGATAGGGACTGTAAGCCGTTTTCCTCGATTTCCAACTGTTTGGCTACAACAGCCACCTGAATTTGAAAAAATGTGATTTTTGAGTAGCTGTAGATCCTTTACTATTCATATTAGATAACAAGTGTGATATATCATTGAAATCAGATTATCGAGCAGATTCTAAAAATATAAAAATATACAGGGTGTTCCATTTAAAAAACATAACTTTGATTTGGCACGGCCTTATGAAACACCCTGTCACATCGTAACTAATTTTAAAATGTGAAGCTTAAAGCTGCCTACTTTTATTATAACAGATCTACAGAGCTTCCTCACACTAATCAATCACCCTGTATACTATTTTTAGCTCTCTAAATAAAATTTAAAAATTTAGTTCCCATTTATTTATTATGAAGACCATAAGGTTTGTATTTAGCTGTTTAGAATAAAAAAGTAAAAATATGTATTTTTTTGGCGTTTTTGTGTTTCATGGATAATTTTTTTCGCTCACTGATAAAAATGTTTCTTCAGTTAAACATTATTTCTAAAAGTGTTCTGGTGCGATTCGTTGTATTGTTATTATTTTGTTTAAAATGGCTCACAATAACTACAATAATGATTACACATTCGGCGAAATGACGGACATGAACTTATGTTTTGGACTCGCTTCTGGAAATGCCAATGAAGCTCGCAGACTTTATCAGGAGCGCTTTCCAAATAGGCATCTTCCATGCGCTAAGATTTCTAGAATTGACGATAGACTTCGGGAAACTGGTACATTTAAGAAAAACCCTAGTAACAGTGGAAGACAAAATTATGTGAGAACTCCTGCTTTGGAAGAAGCAATTTTGGATAGGGTAGCTGAAACCCCATCGACAAGTACCAGAAAAATAGCAAATGGTAAGTAATTACTTATTTATTATTTTAGCTACCCCGTACCTTATCGTATAAAACTAGTTTTTTTACTTGTTATTGCTTCTCTTACATTTCACGACTTTTCGTATCGAAAAGAGTTGCGTTATGCAGAAAAAATCTGATTTCCCAAATCAATGGATTCTCTTTCTTAACTATTCACTACACAGATTCTCTCATTTAATTTCAGAAGTGGGAGTCGGACGTAACACGGTATGGAAAGTTTTGCGTGAACAACAATTGTACCCTTACCACATTCAAAAAGTTCAGGCACTTAAAGCTACTGATTATGAGCCGCGAGTTATCTTTTCTGAATGGTTTCTTGGAAGATGTAATCAAGATGCAATGTTTCTTAATAAAGTGCTATTTACCAATGAAGCTGGTTTCACTAGAGATGGTATAATAAATTTTCGAAATATGCATGAATGGGCTGAAGATAACCCTCACGCGGTTGTTGAACGTCACCACCAGGATAAATTTTCAATAAACGTCTGGGCTGGAGTTATTGATAATTACCTCATTGGACCATTTGTTTTGCCGAATAGGTTAAATGGAGCAGCATACAGGCTTTTTTTGGAAAATAACTTACATGAGCTTCTTGATAATATTCCGATTCAAATCAGACATAACATGTGGTTTATGCATGATGGAGCTCCACCACATTATAGCCTTGAAGCTAGACAGCACCTTAACGAAAGATTTGAGGGTAGAGTAATTGGCAGAGGTTGTCCTGTTAACTGGCCACCTCGTTCACCAGATCTAAATCCAATGGATTTTTTTGTTTGGGGTTATTTAAAATCATTGGTTTATTCCAGTCCTGTTGAAACAGTTGAAGAATTGGAAGAACGAGTTTTTCATCATTGCGAAGTTCTTAGGAATAATCCTGAAGTATTTTTTCGTGTAAGACAGTCTATGATGCGACGGTTGCGCTTGTGTGTGGAAACCAATGGTCGCCACATTGAGCATCTGCTTTAATTTTTTTTGATTTGTTTTTTTAGAATAAATATTTTTTTAAACCGTTTCTTATTATTAAATAAAAATAGTCCCACCACGACATTTGAACTACAATTATTTAGAGAGAGCTAAAAAAGTTATTTTTATTTACGAGATTCACCGAGGTAATTTAGGAAAATTGAAAATTAAGCTAAAGTGGACGAATATCTTTGGATGATGTTTTCTCGGAAACGGCTGCTCCAATCGAGATCAAACAAGTATTCCTTTTTGACGTAGTTTTCAATGTAGAATGTAAAAAAAAATATGGATAAGTCATTACCAAAAACACAAAAAAGTTATGAATAATCAAAATTTTCAAAAAATTCCCAAGTACACCCCTGACGAAATAATTTCTTTTTGAAGGTGTCAAAAGGTCACTATTATTGATCATATTTAACAGCCAAAATTTGGTTCTTTTATTTGTTTCCATTTTTAAGAAAATTCAAAAAATCAAAATAAAAAAAATGATTTCGAGAGGCTGTTGCTCGCTTAGGGGGCACTTTAGGACATAGGTCTATAGGAACTTTTTTTCCATTTTTTGGTTAAGGAATCTGCCTGAGAATTTTGGGACACATTTTAAAGGACACCCTGTATATTTCATTTAGATAAACTTAGAATAAATAAATGATAAATACATCTAATTAAAACTTAAAACATACTATAAATACATATTTACAATAAGTTTTTATTTAGTACAAAAGCAAGCCCTGTCACTATTGCCATACCATAGAAAAAAAGACATCAAAAGCCCATTACAATTCCTTTTTTAAGATAAAATTTCGTGCTTTTCCGCTTTCCTTTTCTGTATCGCTGATCTATTACTTGTTCCATTACTAACCTACACCTTATAAAAAAGTACCAACACATAATTTTTAGCTGCATACATGGAAAAATGGTTCCATTACTATATTATATGCATCATTATTTAGGTATCTTAAAAAATGGAGTTTCAATTTGTATCTCTCACTTTGCTTCTCTAGCTATTGTAGTTGAACATTTATTTTCAGATTTCTTCTCTCTAATAAAGTTTTTAATTTCTTCATTATGTCCCCCTTTAAATATCTGGTAGCTTTTCCTCAGATAATAGTTTGGCAACGTCACCTAAAACATAACATACGAAATGTACATGTTTACACACTGTAGTTTTTATAGCACACTCTATACAGTCACTTTTATAGCGGTGAACACATACCTTACATATTCTACAATATGCGAAGTTCTGCATTCGGTTGAACATAATTCATTATAAAATATTTTGTAAATAATTGTCACCTGTAGAAGGCTTTAAATGAAATTCGCCAAACCTTCTACCTCTTATACTTCAAACATTGTTTTTATTATTTTTGCAAGATGTGCTTTAATCACATCCTCCATTCTGGTAAATATATGAATGTGGTATTTCCATCTATAAAAAACAAATAATTATATAATGAAATATTAGATATTAAAATGAAGTGAACGAGGAAGTGAATATGTTGGTTAAAATTAGTAAACCTTCAGAATCCTTTGCCACATTTTTCCATCAACAAAATTTTCAATTTCTTACATTTGTTTTTCACTTCAGCTGATTTACGTTAACTAAATTGTTTTAACTTTCTAGTACCATATTTGTATTTATACCTGCATTTAATATATAACAGTTAAAAGTTACACAAACTAACTCATTTCCAAAACACAATGGGCAAATAATATGTGATTTCTTAGCATGGGAGACCTCTTGCTGGTTGTGAATATTTTTTATATATATTTACTCTTTGAAGAAACAGGAAAACTCCAAATTGCAGAAAGGACACATTTTGTTATCAAAACCTTTAGTTTCCATACTTAATAATTTTCGCTAAATAATCATCACAAAAACAACCAGCTTTCATAGCGATCAAAGACAAAAGCACTGACCTTTTATATATTGACAAAAGTCTGGTAGTGGTAAACAACAGAATTTTAGGGTTAGTTATTGATTTTTTCTTTTTCCCTCTAGTCACAATTCAAATCGCTCTTCCGCGCTACGGCTATTTACCGAGTAACCCCGGAAAGTTCCGAGCGCTTCCGAGGTTTCCGCGGTTTTTAGTGTCGTCTGCAATGATCTAGGGGCGCCAAAA